TCGTGACTCCTTTCCATTTTTCGCTCTATTCTCTTCAACTCGAACTTCCTAGCCTTCTGCTGCCGGGTTTCTCACTTCCGACTGACTGATCAGACAATTCACAAAAATGGCATTTATATGATTTTAATCTGAGATCAGTTTGAGTTCAATAAATTACTTAGAGCAGTAGCTTATGGTCAATAAAAACCATCAAGAATATGGTTACACAAATCTTGTATCGACTGATTACAACGGCTGATTAGGCCAGTTGAGCTTCACTTGTATACGGGCACCCTAACTACGTACTAAAATAAGCCCATTGAATTTAAACAGCTTAGATGGAATAGTTTCACTTATATATGTGGCTTTATGTAATAACACTCAATAACTTCTGTTGAATTTTAATAATTCCGGTTATAAAAGAAAATGTAATCTGACCATGAAATATTTTATATCAGAAGGGGTTTTGTGGATATTATAGTCACTTCAGTGGTTAAGATCATGAGCCAATTGAAGCTAGACCACCATAGAAAACCGTTTTGTCCTATTGTGGGACTACTCAGCACTGCGCATCCATGATCCCGCCCCGTGAGATTCGAACTCAGGACGTATCAGTCTCTCACACGAGCACTTAACCACTAGACCATTGAGCCGGCATCCAACGATGTTAATGTATAACTGCAAATAATCCACGAAATTGAGCGACACATCCACCATTGTCTTCAGTGAGTTACTATCTCACAACAGACCTGGTTGAACTCCACTGGTCACTACTTCTCATTAGAACTGCAGGAAATATCTCTTAAAGTCAGTCACTAGTGAGCATATGCTGATTAATATCAGGAGGGATTTTGTGGATACCATGGACCACCATGGTGGTCTAGCTTTAATCGACTCATGGTTTCAAGCATTAAAATATTTTATACTCAATACAAAATATTAGTTTATGTAGTCTTTACTCCCTCAGAAAACAATAGAAAGTCATTTAACACAACACTCATCACCAAGTGTTATTCAAGAAATCTCTTTATCATGAACTGAAAAATTTTTACTGTTATGTTTATATGATGCATAACAGTTTCAGATTTATATGTTTAGATAAAATGTGAAACATTCTTATTGTTATGAAAAAGAAAAATCAAACGAGCACTGAAAGATTTAACATCTCTTCACTTATCCTAATCTTAACTAATTAACCTCTGTCTAGTTAGTTGACAAACAAAATATTACATATACTTTCCAAAGATTATTTCGAAACCAGCAGATATATTTTAAGAGAAATCTGTAATAAGTAGAGTATATAAAAATTAGCGACATTTCCAAAAGACTAAAAGATTTATTTGTTGAAGATAACTTTAATCACAATTGATTGATCAATGGGTGGTGATCAATGTCATGTGTGTCAAGTCCTTATTTAGTGCAGATCGAATGTTATCGATCATGTTGCAATGTGGCCACCAATCTAGGTGACTCAACACCAGTTCCCTCAAGATTACAGGTACACCTTGCTGACGCGTGCCAAGTAGCACGAAACCCAGGTCCAGGGTTTCCCGTCGACTACCTCCAACCACTATCTAATCTTAGATAACTTTAATCTCAAGCTCGTATGAGTGAATAACCATTATTGATCGTTAGTATTCGGTTCAGTTAGTCATTAGGTGGTAATGAGATTTTTATAAAACTTGATAGTTTTCTGTGTGGTCCATTGTAGAATTATTTACAAATGACTAATTTATTCATAGCTTGAAAAGGTTAGTCATTTATTGATTTATGGCTTTTAATAATCTAGATAATGTCAGTCTGTGATTAATATCATCATTTAATACACACAAAATAAACAAATGAATAAAATCGAAGCAATTAATCGGGGAATTTTTCACGCTTATTAATGAAAGAATAAAAAATTTTCTATTTGAGTTTTGTCCACAGAGTTTCTATTAACTTCAGAAAAAAAAACACATTTTTGTTGGCTGGATTACAATAATTTATTACCACTAATCATAATAAATCTCCATAAGAAGTTTAAATAAACTACTAGGAAAAATAAATCCAATTAGTATTGTTTACTTGAATCTTCCTATCGATGTTTAGGACTGCAATTGATCAGTCTTTTATTGGCAATATATGTATATTGTGCGTATTGCTTCGATATTGCTTTAATTCACAAGTATTATAAGCAAAGATGGATAATGACTAGCAGTGGAATCCAAGACGTGCGTTTCGTCCCGTTTGAGACTCGTTAGTTGGATATACCTGCATCTCAGAGTTGATGTTCACTCCGGGACTAGAACTCAGTACCATTCTCTTCAAACACCATCGAGTTGTCCACTTAGCATCCAGGTGACGAGTTCCAAATAGGACGAAACGCATGTTCTGGATTCCACTACTAGCCCCTATCCATATTTGCTGATAATACTAGGATGAACTCAGTTTATTTTTGTGATCATAAATAATAAAGATGAAAGTTGCTTAAAATATGATCTCTTTTCTATTGCCGTAAACCTAAGAATAGAATTGTATAAATTACTATAATATAAATCAAATTTATTTGAAGAAAAAAAATAAGTGAAAACATCCATAAATCTATCAGTCTATTTACTTACCTTTTAAGTTATATCATTTTATTTATTTGAAGATAAATAAAATGTCTCTTTGAAAAATAATTACACAATGCTATAACTGAATAATCCCTCTCCCTCTCTTTTCCCCCTGTAATATGTATATATACTTTGACATTAGTGATCAGTGAGTAGCTAAATAGAAAATAATCATTCTAAGAAACTTGGGTAAAAAGTATTACGTTTTCTTTGATTTCCATTGTTTTAAAGAGAAAAAAAAAGAACTCTAGTTTGTTTATTTATGTATCATTTACGTGTTTGGTTACTATGAATAAGTGAATAAGTTCCATGGAATTTGTGATATATATATATATATTGCATGATCAAACCTTATTTAAGTAATTTCAGCGAAACATATTTATGATTCTTATATGGTATATTTAAAGTTCATTTTAATGAAATGATATAACTCAATTAGTTTATGATAAAAAGTAGTGTATTGAATTACATTTACTAAAAATATAATGAAGGTTGAATATCATGCAGATGTATGATTGCTCGCTTTCTGAAAATCTTTAATTTCATTTTAAAGCTGAAATAAAGAAACTTACTAAATAATATCTTGTAAACATCAATATTTCAATTTAAGGTCTAGTTTCCTTCATGAATTTAAATGAAGCCGAAACGAACATGGATGCAGAATATCATGAATAGATTATATTTCGTGGTTTTATCATCAGTTGCTTAAAACCAAATATGTATTAAAATTTTACATTGAGGTAAGATATAGTATAGAATAATGGACATAAGCGAATGTAAGGAATTGGAATGAAAAAGGTTATCAATAACAACTATATATATGCAAGAAGAGATCATCTTGGCATTTCCGAGCATGTTACAAAGAAATTCAAACTGCGAGGGACAAGGGCTCTTAACACTGCAATAGTTTGACATTTACTTGACACCGAGCATAGCATTGACATTCCTCATGCTTTTAAAACTAATAGCAGATAAAAAATTACTTTTACTTTCAGTTTTGCTGAAGCGATCGAGATAAAAAAAACTGAAACCTGACCTATGGATTCAAAAAGAGACAGTAATAAACCTATCACTACTCTCTTAATTCAATTTTGGTCATTAGCTCTATTTTGTTAATGTTTAGTTTGTTACATTTCTCTTTCATTACCGAATTCTTAAACTACCCGTTCTCTCATACATTTCCACACACTCGATTCTCTTAAATTCTGCAAACCCTTCAAATCCTATTCAATTATTACTTAACCCATTTTACTAGTTCTTTAATTCCATGAATCTGATGTCAAACCTTCATTACCTCTAAAATTATCACATAATTTATCTTATCTGTCCCCGAACTTCATTCAACTATAACATCGCCTATCCCTAGTGTTTTCTTGATTCTAATGACGATCTCTGACCTGTTCTTGCATATATATACATATAGATATTATCGATAACGTTTGTCATTCCAATTCCTTACATTCACTTATGTCCATTATTCCATACTATATCTTACCTCAATGTAAAATTTTAATACATATTTGGTTGTAAGCAGCTGATGATAAAACCACGAAATATAATCTATTCATAATATTCTGCATCCATGTTCGTTCTGGCTTTATTTAAGGTCTAGTTTTCGTTTTGTGAAATTTTCGTCTTCGGTAAACATTGGTTGAATTAACGCAATAGTCATGTATTGTATGTAATCATCACATGAAAGTCCAGTAATTAAATGAATACACTTTTCAAGACAACAGAAACTATAAGTTTAAAAACAAACATTTAAATAAAAGACAATATCCATAAATTTAAAAAATTATCCTAATATATGACTAAGTCAATGAGAGATTAGTTCAAACGGTAAAATAAAACACTAAATTGAACCACCCAATAAAATCTATGGAGAAGAAGGCCTTGACCCACACGACATTGATCACCACCCAGTGATCAATCAATTGTGATTACATTTCAGTCCTACAGGAGGTCGGTCGCGACCCGGATAGCTCAGTGGTAACGACTCTGACTGTGAAGCTGGGTGAAACGGGAACACCAGTTCCCTCAAGATAACAGGTACACCTTGCTGATGAGTGTCAAAGAGCACGGAAACCGGGTACCGGGTTTCCTGGCGACTACCTCAAACCATAATCTTATCTCAACATAGTGTACGCAATGTCGAGTCACCTAGACTAGTAGCCACATTGCAACTTGGTCAATAGTATTCAATCTGCACTAAGAAGGACTTGACACACATGACAGTGATCACCGCCCAGTGATCAATCAATTGTGAATAAAGTAATTCAAAGAAATTGAAGTCAAAGACAAAACATTAAGTACTGTAGGGATAATTCTTGAAAAAAACAAAAATATGTCATAAATTATTCCATGGACTGTAAAAGGCACAGTAAAATTCCCAAAGGTAAGAGATTAATCTGAATGTAAACTTACGGGAAAAATAAAATGGAGTTTGTTTTTCAACATTCACCACACCAAAATTATTTAGCATTTCCAATTTTTCTTGAAGTAATCGCATTCTTTTATCAATTACCTGAGGCATTTTATGTCTGTATAATTTCAACAGGGTCCGAATAATGCCTATTCATCAAAAATAATACAAATAAAAACAAAACAAAAAAACAAAATAGCAATCATTATTCTAATAGTTATACTGTTTAAATATAATAAAGCCTCAACGTCTTGGTTACAACATTAAGTCATATGTTGTATAAATTCATTTATTATATTGATATATTTATAATTTAGATAGATACATATGGGTTTTTGTTTTGTAAAATGTTTTCAAACAATTGGAATAAAACAATTTTCATTTGAATTTATGTAATATAAACTTGTAATACACCAGAAACATTCATAATTGTGACACATTTCATTCGAAGTCTCTAAGCATTCATTTCACGTAGCCATAATCAGTGACTTTTACTTATATACAGTAATATACATTATCTATAAGTTAATTTATTGTTTTTTATTAAGTTAACTAAAACATATTTTGTATCGTATTCTTATGGATTGGTACTGCAGATAATTAGCTCAAATGTTTCTCGACTGAAAACTAGAAAATTTTCGTGCTTATGAACGTTCAGTATATATTTTATTACAATCAGAGAGTGGTTTTGCGGATATCATTAGTAATTTCGTAGTTGAATTCATGAGTCACTTAAAACTAGACCGTCATGAAAAACCTAAAAGCGCAGGACTGATAGGTCCTGGGTACAAATCTCGCGAGGCGGAATCGTTGATGCTCACAGCTTAGGGGTCACATACAAGGACGAAACGGTCATCTAGTGCTTCCAGGTTTTTCAAGGTGGTAAAGCTTCAATTGACTCTTATACTTTATTGATATTGACTTTTAATAAACTAGTTAAAATAAATGTTTATGTCAACAATCAGTTGAAATACATGATGTTTCATTGAGTCAGGGACGTGATCCTCAAAGGAAAACGGAGTTATATTTATGGAAGTGGTAAGGCCACATAAGCAGTAAGGGATCTGAAGACTGGAATGTGAAAATGAGAGAATAAAAACAATGTTGAACATTTGTTTCTCAATCCTTAGATAAACTCCAGGAGTTTCGATAATAAATCAACTGTAGCATCACATCTAATAGGGACAAACAGAGAATTATTTCCACCCCAAAAAAGATTCTTTAGTATTATTTTTTCTTTTATAAAATTAGAACAGACGTACTGGTGAATATATTGACGAATCTTAACAATCTGAATAGACTGGATGGAATATAGTTAAGCACACTACAGAAACTGTTGATAAATAAATAAAGACGTTGCTTTTAACATCCAGCCTATTTAGTCCACCAGTAACAGAGATACAAACAATAACGGACGTTTGATTGATTAAGTCAATTACTATGCTTTGATTTATCATTAATTACTATTTATTAACAGAAAAGAGGAAGGCCGAAGAACACCCTACGTTGGAGATTGTAAACAGATATGAAAAAGATGAATAGCAACTGGAAAGGATTACCAAGGACAGAGTTGGATGAAGAGTGCTAGTGGGCAGCTTATGTTCCTCCATGAGGGTTAACAGGCGTAATTAAGTAAGTAAATACTTATTAACATATTACGAATAAAATCAACATGTCTCCTGACAGTACATACTTTGGTAACCTCAATTTTATTTTAGTGTACTTTCATTTTTATGAGTAATAAAACGTTTAATATTATCCCACCCGTAAATTAAAGCGTCACATACTTATTGAACTCTAATAAAAAAATAACACACAAATATGTAACCTGAAATAACTCATTTGGAACACAATTGATATTAAATGGTTTGTTAATATCAACAATTTCAAACGGATGGACAAGTGGTTAATACAAAATTATTTTAAATTTAGTTATCTTTCATAAATTTGATACTGATTATTTCCTAAAAGTAACTCGGAGGAGATTGTCGGGTGAAACCTTGTAACTAGTGTTCATTTTGAGTCACTAAGATTACTTTAAATATACATTGACATCTAATATTCAATTTATACTCGAGTTCCAATTTCTGTCAGACAATTTGTTCAAATAGGTATCCATAGCAAGAGTGAACATGAGAGTTTCAAATAAATTGAATACTGAGTAGAGAATTAATAATAAATTTAATTTTTTTATTTTATCTCATTGGGATAAAGCAAAAAGATATTTATTAATTTATTCATATGTTGACAAATGTCTATATGTAAATTATTTATTCGATATTGAAACGATCACCTGTAGTACAAATTTTAAGTTTTGTAATTTCAAGTGATCTCTGGCTTATTTATTTAATTATTTATTTGAACACATAGGCATTGATACAACGAAACAACAAATACATGTTTGCCATGTAAATTATTCGACTTGTGTAAGGACTGGGATACTGTCTGGAGGCCCAGACCAAAGCAGGTGGTTTTCTTAGTGGGTCACACCCCGCACCTTCAACTTAAAAGTCTGATCCATAAGGCAGTGCAGCAACGTCAGGAGATGCAGTACCATGGCAGCCGGTAACCAACGATTGGTTCATACGTTATTTATTTCCTTCAGGATCCTGGAGCCCATGTACTCCATTGGTTTGGAATCAGGGTCTTCCAACTCCCCTAGGCGGACCCACAGTGTCCGCCAACCTGATTAGAGCGCCGAGCATTCGCTTTTCATCCTCTCAACTTCGTGAACAACAGTAATGCCGCGAGAAGGCAGTGAATAGGATTTTCTTGGTAGTGCCTGTATACGCGTAGTCATGTGAGAACATTTCACTACCCGCGGCCGTACCTGAGCATTCGTGAGAAATTTGTGAAACAAGTGGAATCGAAATGAATGACCCTTCAGAGAAATTTAGAGTATTTATTGACATTGATTTGTTATTATACTCTGCCATTTACGAAATTCGGTAGATTATTGTTGGAGAACTGGCTTGTTTACAGACCCATTACGTTGTAATATTTTGTTAGATTATATGTGCTACATTTATTTCTCACAACAGACCTGATTGAACTCCACTGGTCACTAATTCTCACTAGAACTGCAGGAAATATCTCTTGAAGTCAGTCACTGGTCAGCATATGCTGATTAGTATCAGAAGTGGATTTTGTGGATATCATAGTAATTTCAATAGTTGAGATTATGTGTCAATTGAAGCTGAGGAGTCACACGATAGGACAAAACCGCCATCCTACGCTTCCAGGTTTTCCACGGTGGTCTAGCTTCAAATGACTCATGATCTCAACCATTGAAAATACTATAATATCCACAAAACCCATTCCGATACTAATATTTTTATGTATAGTAGTTGTTCACATGTAAATTTAATCATATTTTTGTGAATTGTAGAATATAACTAAATTTAAGCACATGAAAAAATGAATGTTCAAAATACATATTACTAATTTGAAATTGTGTATTGACGATAAAACGAAATGTGATCATGGAAACTATGCGATGTGAAAACTAACTGAATGACGTTTCTGTAAACAGTGTTCATAATACATATAAAGAAAAAAACCAATCTTTTTTAGCGGATCATAATAATGAGTTAATGGTTCAATCAGTTTCAATAATCACATTATATGTATTCAATTAGTATCAAATCTCTTTAGATAATCCATGATAAAAAATTGGGAAGAGTTTTGAACAAAATAGTAAAACCAGTTATTGTTTGAAATATTATTTATTACTACTTTTCAAAGCTAATCTTACAGCATAAATAATTGGCGGTAAAAGAAATCGAATTAATAATTTCTCATGTTGAAATGGTGAGTATTTGTAGTTTAGGTAGATTATTTTAATGAGATTTCGTACTGTGAACTGACAACTTGGATAGATTTTTAAATGTTTGTTGATTGCCAACTGACCTGATTGACAAGCTTCTAACAATTCTCTGGTCTTTTCAGTATTCCATCTGACAAAGATTTTAACATTTTTCAGTTGAACGTGTATCCATGACTATCTACATACACTAATATTAACTACGATATATCTTGACGGGTGACAGTTAGTTGATATTTACGTAAGCAAAAATGAAATGGGCAGCTATTTGATCTGATAAAATGTTTCTTATAGCTGAAATAATTTATTAACCAATAAAAATAGTTATGTACAACTGTAGGCTAAAAATCAAGTCAAATAATGATATGACAAAAGTTAACAACAATCGAGCCATTTCTAGGTTGACAGAACAAGGTGTTAGTTATATTCGTGAAAGAAAAACAACTTTCTGTATAATCTAAATACACTTTTCATTTGTAGATACAACTAAATAATACTAATAATCAATATGTACTTACCTTCAACCATTGTAGTTCCTAAATAACCATCTAAATTCACCTTAATTCTATGTTTCCATAAATATTTTGTAGCATCTTCAATTGAATCCAGTACTAAACTTGTAACTATCTCCCATTCATAATTATCTAATAATGGTACATTCAATAAAAGATCATTTTGAAATAATTCCGTCGTTTCATCACAATTTATAACATTCTCTGAATAAATAATAATAATAACTATTTTCAATAACAATATGAGTTTAGCTAAGAACATGTAAATTAGTTTTTTTTTATTTAGAAAAACAAACAGACAAAATATTTCACTAATTCATAAATGTCTATAAAGAATGTTATAAATTTAGATCAGTTTGGATTCGGAAAATGTACTGAATGTTGCGCGAATTATATATATATATATATATATATATATATATATATGTATATCACAGCAACGTTTGATTGGTTAATTATTTCCAATTACTGACTGGTTCAATCATCCATTTTTTTAAAATTTTATTTAAATGAAAACGAATATTTGACAACACTGCCACCACCACCACCACCATCAACCCCACCACCACCAACAACAGCAACAACAAAAATGTATCATGAAAATTGTCTCAATAATTAAACGTATCCTATTGAATGTTAATTAGAAATTATGATTTATCATTTTTATTTATTTATTTATTTACTTTTCTTTATTTTATTATACAATGAATATGATAAAAAGTAAATAAAAAAAACAGTTCCGGATTTTCTACAAACACAACAAGCGCAGCAACAACAAAAATATCGACGTGTATAAAGCGAGAATGAATGAAAATAAGATTTTCTTTTTATAAATAAAATTTATAAACAATAATAATACTGAATAAGATAACTGAAATGACCTTAAAGAATGATAGAAATATAAAGAATAATATCTTATGTATTTAAATGTGGTATATCTATTTTTGTTCTTATTATTGTATAATTTCCTTTTTTTATTTATAATTAGCGTGATAAATCTACTTAAATAAATTGTAAATGACATGATACAACTAATTACAATTGAGAATAGAAATAATTTAATTTATTCTTATTTATTATTAGAAGGGGTTTGTGGAGATTTTAGAAATTTCACAGATTGAAATTATGAGCTGATTGAAGCTAGACCACCACGGAAAACCTGGAAGCACTGGACATCCGTTTCGTCCCAGTATGGGACTCCTTGGCAGTGCGTATCCACAATCTCGCCCCCCCCAAGAGACTCGAACCCAAGACCTATCAGTCTCGCGTCAGGTGCCTAACCAACTAGATCACTGAGCCGGCATCCTTCTTATTTCAATAACAAAGTATATTCGGTTATAGGAATCGAAATCATATTAATAAAATATAAAGTGTTATGCTTTAATAGAAAAGGAGTATTGAAGGCTAATAATGAAGATCAGTTGTTCATGCAAGAAAATGTGTTTTTATTCTATTTTTTAAATATTTTTTATTTGTTCATTGACCTTAGTTAGACAATCATTGTAAATCATCAGGAAGCATTCAAAGAAACTCTAGATTCTCTGTTCGTGTATACCTACAACCATATAGGAGATCGTACGCAGGTTATACATATCTTACAATAAGTGTTTGACTTATCGATCAGTGAGTTGTATACTAGAAAAATCAGCTATTAAAGGCTTTCTAGTTTTAAGCATTTGTTTAACTGGTATTAATCCATGATGTATACTATAAAATAAGAAACTTTCGCAAACTCATATGGTAATATACTGGTTGATTTGAATATAGTACTATTTTTCTGTTTGATAGGTTCACTAAGATAATTTGGTAAACCAGATGTTGTTTATTTAAAACTATGTTTTGTTGCATGCAACTAAGCAATATGTAGTCCTATTATTGAGAAATTCATTTAAGAGATATGCAAAAGCGTACATATTTTTAAAAGATTTCATGGTTAATTGATCTTTGAACACCAGAAATCTAACAGCTTTTGTTTCAACATTAAGTTTAACTGATAAAACAAACAATGTTACTGTGTGATTTTTTACCTTTATGAACCATGAGATTATAAAGATCTTAAGAATTGACTACCTATTATCTGGGTATCTGATGTGATCGTTTAACTTGATATTCATTGACTAAAACCGTGTATATTACATGAGTTCCATGAGCGACTGTACTATCTATTGAATCACGTTTATCAATAATTCGTTATGAATTGTATGGAGGTCTATTCAACCATTATTTTAGCATAACTGTCTGTTTGTTACTACTAGTAGTTTAGATATAAATATAGTAGATTGTTATATGCTCAGTTATCCTTTATTTCAATAAATAGGCAGTAGAGCTTTATTAGTAAACGTTTGTTTTATTAAACGATGAAACATTTAAAGTTTGATGCAAATAACTGCACTGTTGTTGATCATTCGATAAACAATATATGAGAATCAATATATAGATTTGGTAATGAATTTCAATATTTATCTTCCTACATATCTAACAGTGTCAACGATTCTCATAACAGATATTTTTATTTCTAACATGTTAAAAGATACTTCCAATTGTTATAATGAAAAATATTACATCATATAAACCGTTAAATATATAAATATCAATGTTTCAATCTCAACTTATTTTTGACAATTTAGTAAATGACATGTATAGAAAAGACAGTATTTATAATATACGGTTAAAATACGATAACTTTTTAAGTTGAGTTCAAATGAATCTGTTATTTTTAAGGTTACGGTATTGCCGTTTGTAACACAAAGCATATCATGATTACGGTAGTTTTTTATACGTACAGTTATGTTATTCTTTGAAATTTTTCATTGAATAATTTTTTTCGTAAGCTTTATTTTAGCGTGTTAGTTTTTTACGGGATGGGGTCGCTAACCCCATTCTCAACCCTCAGCCTTTATCCGTGCTTCGGAACGGCGGTAGCCCCCGGGAGGGACTCCGGGCAAAGTTATTCTTTGAAATACTAACCCATAAATCCTTACAATTCATATTTAATAGAATAAAGATATGTTTGAGATTGATTTCTAGAATTGATATTTCATAAAATCATTATATTTATTGATAGCAAACTGTAAAAACAGAATGATAAATTAGGCGGAGAAATTATTACTTTACAAATCATTTTAAAAATAAATAGAATTTAGTGAAGAAAATTTTCTTTTCAAAAAAATCATTTATTTAAGTTGTATATTCTTATTAATAGTTGTATGATAAATAAATGTCTATCGAAGAATAGAAAAGATTGTTTTATATAATGATTCGAGATTCCAAATATCAAATGAGCTTATGTAATAATCAGGGCATTAGAGAAGAGTAGTAGGATGAAAATAATTTACAGATCAATCTTTACTATGCTTTTATAGACATATATTTACTATGCAACTATAAATATGAATGTATAGTTCAAGTAAATGATTTTGTCGAAATAGAAATTTTCTTCACTGAATTCTTTTTATTTTTTATCCAATGATACAATGAGTTGTTTTAATTATCTAAAATATTTTACTTCTATGCTTGTGATTAGTTTATAAATTAAGATAAATATAACATTAGAAAATAATTTCAATCTTAGTAAAAAAAAATATAAATTTTTTTGTTATATTCCAATGATTAGAAAACTTTTATTTCTGACATTTCGTGACTTAATTTAGATCACTTCTTCGGAGTAAATAAATAACTGAAATAAAGAGAGGACAAGTTTGAATAGTACGAAGGAAACAATAAAGAATAATTTTGGTACAATCGAGATCACAGATGTTATATCTCTGCAAGAGTTATGAATGGTGACTTTTGAGAACTATTCATGGACTAATACGATACATGTATTTTTATTGTATAATTATTAAATAGCTAAACTATTCATATTCCCGTTCCTCTTACCATAAGCTTTATTTTGACCTATGAACTGTTATTATACGATTTACCATTCTTGAGTTATGCCCTGTCTATCAATTACTATCTTCCACATTCACAGCCATATTTGGCTAAATCTTGCACAAATGTTGTTTCCTATTTTATGGTACGATGTGGTCTGTTTGGATTATATATGTAAACCTAGTATGTTTGAAATAAATGATTCATATCGCAGAGGCTGAGATTGATGTTCTGGACTTAACAGTCAGTGCTAGGCAGGAAGTAGCACAGATAAAGATTCGAGACTGTTCGTACGAGTTTTGTGCGGCATTGGTCCGGTCATTAATAAACTGTTCTCTAATTGGCGGTATCATTACATTATACATTAACAGGGCACAAGGTATATATTCAACAAGATAAAACAAGTATTCTTTCATCTTCATAGCTCCTAAACTTATCACTTTAAATTCAGCTTCAAATATTATCTAATGTATATTCAACTAAGTAGTTGACAAAACTCTACAAAAAACATTCTGTTCATGAACTGTAATTCACGAAACGTCTTCATCAACAAATCCTAATCTCAAAATAATAGCTTTAATCTATTCTTATTACTTTGTCTTTTAACCAAATGAATACAATGCGAGTTATTTACTCAACTGCGATGAACTAATAAATTATTTGTACAATACTTTTACTCTTTTCCTTTACACTATGCCCTGGGATCCAGCCAGCTGACGGGTCCCAGATAAGAAGAAACGCGCGTCCTGGATTCCACTGCTAGCCAATATCCATCTTTATTTATAATGCTTGTGAATTAAAGCAATATTGAGGCATACGCACAGTATGCACATATGCCAATAAGAGACTGATCAATTGCAGTCCTAAACATCGATAGGAAGATTCAAGTAAACAATACCAAGTGAATTTAAATTCACCCTATTGCACAAGCTGGATTCCACTGCTAACCACTATAAATTAAATCAGTTGTAATACTGTAGTGAACGTGAACATAGGCGCGGACAACTAAATGTATTTGAATACTGTGGTGGCTTGGCTTCATTAATCAATCACCCTAATAACCGTTATTATATAAATCTCAATTGTGTTTGAAACTAGAAGGCAATTAGGAGCTGCGACTACAGTTTATCAGCGGATAACACAGACAACAAAGTCATATGCACATCGAGCGAATTTGAAGCAGAAACGAATGTGTATATGCGAGCTCATACGGAAGCAAATTCATATTCAAATCGGATAAGGCGCAGCTAGGCAAGGCAAAGGCTAATAATAGAATTTGAGTATATATATATATATATATATACATAGAAAAGAGAAGGATTCATCGAGCGATATTTAAGCTATCAACATTGGCTATGAAGGGATATGTGCGTAGGCTATCATCTGATCAAGGGTACACGTTCATACAGACAAGATAATGGTACATAATAGTACAAAGAAATGTGCGGATTGTTACTGTTCGGATAATATTGTCTGTTAAGTTAGTTATTAAAAAGGCTTGACAGAATATAACCATTATCGAAATTGATTGTACGAGAGTTGCTATAAAACAGTAAATAATTCATTTGCAAAATATCCATCAATTGTCTCAAACTTCATTGTTCCTTCGTTTCCATACCAATCATTCTCTGTTCTCGTTCTCTTCACATCAATTTTCTCAACCTTCTGTTGTTAGGTTTTCCGCTTTCTATTGATGATACATACCAATTATATTTGTTGACATCAGCAGCAAACACCACAATATTAACACAAATACCATGCTGAATTAAAACATGATCATATATTTTATCGTATCTTAAAACGTTTGTTAAATGTTTTGCAAATCGACATTAGAAAATCTTTTAACCATATTTTTCTAAGTTTGAAGAGATTACGAGATCATCTAAAATCAATAAATGGGACTAGGTATCAGCGTCATAACGACCAGCTAAACTAACTATTCCGATGCGTCTTAGCCCCGCTTACCAGAGAACAAACACCAAAATCAGAACAAGGAAATTATATATTACAAGCATCCATAAATATGTACTACAACAAGCACACAACTGAAGCGTATATATACGGCATAAAACTGCCCTTGGGAAACGTCACGAAATAGCATAGTAAAAGAGGGAACGAACCAGTGACATTTAGAGTCCTTTCAAGTGGGGAATATAAGATGAGTGTAAAAATGGGCGCTTTTGGCACGAAAACAAAAAGATTCAAATTTTCAAAATAGAATTACAAAACTAAGACGTTTACCAAGTGATTTCTGAGGACCTACGATCCCCCAACATATTTAAGTACATTCTGAGATTTAATACAGATTGAACGTTATATACATGCTCTGTTGTGTAATCAAACACACTTACATACTGTAAACAACCTTGGAATAGTTTTGTTTTATGGGTTTTCATGGTCGTATAGTTCATAGACAGATGTTCCCAGGATATTTATTACAATTAATATGGTTTTATATTAGTTTTTATGATTTTTATAGTATATCCAATTATTTACTGGTTGCGTAATTAAACAGCCTCATGTCAAGTGTTCAAGCATATTTTCCACTTTTGTGTAAGTAACATTTCTCATAAAAATTCATAGGTTATAATTACAACTCTACTGCAACTTGGGTGAATCAGTTTTTGTAACAAATAACCTAATGAAAGTATATACATTAAGTGTAATATTGAAAATCAAAATAAGGGAAATAATATATATCTGAAAAATTAGTAGATAATCGTATTTAATTTCTTTAATATTCTTAAAACTATTGAGATGGCCCTCGAAAAGCTCAACGAAACCTTCAGAAGCTCTAAAGGAACCAAAGTCGTAAACTGTATTAGATGTAATCACTTAAATGATTTACCAAAAACCTCTTTACTTTATTTGACCTTGAAATCTGATTATATTTAATTGACTTGTAATAGTTAATTTCGTTACAATATTCAAACTAATATCCATTCATACAGTTACTTATTCTAGATTGACCAATTCTCAAAACAAGAGAATACTTTACAATTAGGTTGTTATAAAAATAATATAAGAAAGTTAAAATGGGAAAATGTTTCAAACCTGTTAATTGACTTTTAAATCAGAGTTAAATCCTCAATATCAATAATATTTAAGAAATCTGTCAACTGTATTGTTATGTAATAGTTTGCATTGATTTGAAAGAATTATAGGAATTAACATTTGAAAATTACCACCAAATTTTAAGTAGTTACAACATTCATATACATATATTTCTATAAAAAGTTTTATATTTGTTATTTTATATTAGGAGCTGTAATATTAAGCAGACCTTCTATCCAATCACCAGGTTTTGATATTAAAGATTCCCACAATGATGTACTTTTTGTTATTGTACTGCTTTGATATACATTAGCATTTACGTTGTTATCATTGATCGTATCCATTAATTCAGATTCTTCTTCGGTTTAAACAAAAAGGCAGGAAGAAAAAACAAAAAATGAAGAGATGTATTTTATAATAATAAAATCTTTTAAGAGAATTGTAATATAAACTTGATATTCTCAGGAGTATGTAGATGTTCTGAAAGAAAATTATAGCAGTAAGTAGGGGAAGAATAATGTATTTTAGAATTGAGAGAAAACCGTTGGATGACGGCCGGCCCAGTGGTCTATAAGTTAAGCGCTCGCACGCGAGACTGATAGGTCCTGGGTTCGAACCCCGCGGGCGGGATCGTGAATGCGCACTGCTAAGGAGTCTCGTAGTGGAACGAAACGGCCGTCCAGTGCTTCCAGGTTTTCCATGAAGGTCCAGCTTCAACTGACTCATGATTTCAATTATTAAAGTTACTATAATTTACAAAACCCCTTCTGAAAATTGTAGTACTTATAGATAAAAATAGAAATGATATGTGACATAGGAAAATGATATTTTGCATGAATCGGTCAAACATTTCCTTAAATATTATCTTCAGGTCCCGATGCTTGAATTAAAATTCAACCAGTGAGCATGGAGTGAAATAGTTCGCATCTTTGATTGGGATGAAATGCCTTGAATGTTGATTTTCCATTCTTTGTAGAACAGTTTAATTTATGTTGCCATAGAAAAGTATGGAATAATTTCAACGAAATCATCATTATCAACATTCATTCTTACTTATGAAAATGTTGTTGACGAATAAAGAATGTTATGTAATAATTATAACTGGCGATTATTTCGTTCTCTCATCATTGATTATCGTATTATTGTATGTTTTTAAAAGATAATGGGACAAAAGATGTAACTTTCTAGATGTTCACTGTATAATAAGTATTCATTCATTCATTTATTCATAAAATATCTATAATTGTTTGATTTGGGCCCTATGTTTGCACATAGCAGTTTAATTCGCAAGTTAATCTGTGCGGTATTCACTATCACATATATATATATAATTCATGTGATTACCTTTATTGGCAATTTGTACGATCCCCAATAGTTCTGGATCACTAAAGCTACTTGAACGATTCCAAATAAATATTTTCATAGTAGATTCGATTAATTCACTAAGATGTTTGTCTGAAAACTGAAGTAAACTATTCCAGACTGGTTGATCACTTCGTAGAATTTGATCAGTACTTCGACATTCTGTTTTGTGTTCAGGATCAGTTAGTTCCCTAATTAAATTAAATAATTTCATGAATGTGGTTGATAAAAGCAAATGTTTATTTGATAGATTCTATTTGATGTCAAAGTATGTCTGTTAATTGTTCACTTATTGGGATCTATTTAGTGCCTTTTAATTTTCAATACTGTAAAAACAGTGTGCCATATAACTGAATATTGAATATTCTGTAAGTATCGTTATTGTTGTTTAGCTTGTTAAATATGGAAAAACTTACGGACCATTCATTCATCTAAACAACAGATGTAATAAAGCAATATTTAATATTTTAGTTCATTGAAACACGATGGAGACTCAATTCTTTTCACTCCATCTCACTTGACTATCATACAATAACAATGGAATACACAATCCAATGTAGGGATGTTTATTTTTATGGCAGTCGCAAGTTAGTTGAGGTGTCTGGTCTTCATCGAGGTGTCAATATTTCAAGAAACTGTCACCTTATTATATTTACCATTTGTCATTAAATGCCATCAGTTGGTAACTGTTATACCATTGATATAGTTAACTCCACAAGCTGTAATTGATGTACACATTATAGAATTCAAAAATAAATTTCATGAGTGAAGTTGTTATTTGATTTTTAAAACACAGAATTATAATTGTAAACGTACACGGTCACGTAAGAATTTATATCTGTACCAGCTTTTTGTGAATGCAAATTCTTTCCTTCCTTTATCCATACATTTAATACGCCAATCAAATCAATAGCTTCATCAGTTACACACAACACTTTTTTCTGATAATCAGATATTGCAAAACGTAAAGCAAGTTTGATTTCACCGTAGTAATCTGTATTTATGTTAGGATTTGTAATGATTGAATTCTATGAGGAAAAATATTATTGACAGATTATAAATCTTTTGTTATAAATAAAACAATAGATTTAAATGTTCTACATGAAATACATAGTCAGGGATTATTCATTTACGCTTTTCTCCTTATGATCCATAGTCAAACGGTCAAGCAGCATGGATACCTTTAAACAAGCTTCACCTTAAAAGAAGATTGAATGAAAATCTGAGTAATTATCAAGTTTTCAACATTTTATCCAGTTACGGCTAATCTTGCTATTCCAGTGTGGAAATTGTTTGTGGAAAAAATATCAGGAAAAGGTGTCAGGACGACTTTTAACCTCCTGCTCTAGCCAACAAAGATAGAGAGACAAGGAGAGAATATGTACACTTGCAGTTTTTACGTAAGAGATAAAGTGTTTGTAAAGCCATATCACAGTACAAATAAATAGGGAGTAGGAACTATAGGAAGAAGAATCGGAAAAGTTTTGTTCATTGTGCGAGAGATACTTGGAACGTGGGAAAAGCAAATCGTACACTTAGAGGTAAATATAACAATGAACATAGAAGACGATGAAATTAATTTTCAGCTTGTTATACTCATGGATACTTCGCAAATGAACACAGTCATTGATGAAAAATTAAGAAACAGAAGTGATAGTTGTATGAGCATAAAAAATCAGAAAATAGAACGCTACCGGAAACCTGAAACTAGGTAGACCAGAGAAAAATCATATTTTTCACAAGAGAGTAGGTCCTTGATAAAGTTTACGAAGTTAAAAGAAGGCTGAAAACTCTTTGTCTAGTAATTATACAATAGAGATTTCCCCCCAGAGAGTTTAAATAAACGATAGATAGTCTGTCATATCTTGATTGGTTATTTACCAATTTGTGACTAAACTTAGAACGTTTCTTGAATATTTCAGAATATCAAGCTCCAAAATGAAGCTATGAATATCTTTGTTTTCTCATTCTTAAGTTATCTTGAACGTTAAACATTTTTCTTACGTCTCTCATTGTATCTTTCATTCAGAGTTCAATTGTAGGAGATTCTGGGGATCAGTGACTAGGTAGAAAGTCCCTACCAAACATGTGCGTACTATATATATCAAAATACACAGAAAAAACTATCTTCTGAATAGTTGGATGTGCATGAATGCTATTCGACTGCTTGGTAAGCTATCGCTTTGACTTGATCTGGCAATCATATATAGGCATTATTTAGGCGGTAACGAATGATCTTGTATATTTTCTGGAATAGCTAAAAATCGACCGCTATTACTATTCAAAAGCAAAAGATTTGTGCAGCTCATAAGCAAACACTCACGATATGTTTAAATTCAAAGAAAATATGGGTAAATGCCTTATATTAAACAACTGTAAATAAAATTAGTTTTAACAGAAATAGTTGAATGTATCTTATTTCGTTTTGCCCCTTATGATATTATGTTTAATGATACTTACATTTTCACTTATCAATTGGAAGGATTTTCTACATGCTGAAAACAAAAGATTACATTCTTTTATAGGAATAACAGTTTGGCCAATGGTGAATTGTGATTTTATACCATTTCTAGACCATAACTTTATCACAATAATCTTCTTGTTTAAATCACATCTATGTACTGTAAAACAAACACTAAGATCAAAAACTGCATCTCTTCCATCCCATTTATTGTTACCAGATACTTTGAGATTATATTTGACATTATCTGGAAGCAATGAGATTGTAGCATGACTAAAACATATATAAGCAATAAGAGAAAAACTCGGATCACTTCAAGGTAGATGTTATATCATAACCTTTACACAGTTTAACCTTTTTTTACATTGAAACAACGAAAAAAAGTACAATCTAATTGTCATCAATTTTGAAAATGTTGATGTGAATCAAATACTGGCAACAAATTCGTTAGATAATAATGACCTTAATGTCCTAGCATTTTGTATTGATAACTCTATAACTGTTAAAATCAGTAGATAATACATATTTATACATTGATTAGACTGTTTTACTTGCTTTCAAACTAAATCAACAATCATTCAACTACATTTCATGAAGTTATGATATTGAGTTGCCTATAGAAATGTAAGCAAAAAGTTGCTACATGAAACCTCAAGATTTTTAATTTAAAAAGGCTGTAGTGTTTGAATGAACTAATGATACCTTTGTACTTGTTGAATGCTTGATTTCGAATTCTAAATACAATACATTCGTTTGTGGTTATCTAGTACTTCTTGATCCTATTACGTTATTTCTGGGATTCTTAGTTCATACTGTAATTCAAATACTTTCGGATATCACAAAGGCTTAAATATTTCTTATATAGGACTAACATTAGATAATTCACGTATAAAATAAGTTAAATTACAGAGGAATTATTTAAACAAATATTCAAATAGCTTGACTACTTTCTTGAATATTCATCGTAACTTCAGTAACTGGGAAATTGCAATATGGTTATCTACGTCTTAAACATTTTCAGTTGTTACAATCGTACATTAAGATACTATGATTTTGTTAGCATAAAATACATAGAGCCATAGTTAACAAACTAAAGTCTGATTATTATTTAGATAAAACTCCCTTCATTTGCTTTTGCAAACGACACTCTATTCACTATGAATGATCATTTAAAATGTGGAGCAAATAAATAAATATAGGTGGTTAAAAATCAACCCATTTTAGATTATTAAAGAAGATAAGTTACTCAAATAGAATGTTATATAAAATCTTACGGTAAGCCGATTATATATTTTTCATGTGCTAAATTATTAGCAGCCCATAAACTAACTCCAAGTTGTTGATCTTGAGCATTATATTCCATTGATACATCAATTTCACCATGAATTAATTCATCCATTTCATTAGAAGCTTTATAGTGATTTGATTTGTATGATTTACTCTGGACATCAAAAAGTGAGAAAATGGAATGAAAATGTATGTAATATTTTGCATTACTATTTCATGATAAATTCACTACGGATCTAAAATGTTTACATTCAAGTTAATGACATGAAGTTCTGTAATGCTATGGAATTATAAAACTGATTAAACATTAATTATTGAAGTAAAAAACGTGGTTACATTCAGTATCATAAAATAAAAATCCCATTTATTTGCTAAATATACAATACTACTTGGAATTATTAACTACGAGACGTTGGAGAAGATTTGTAGCTCAGGTGGATGATTTTGATAGAGTTTTGTTTCTGAGCTGGATGGTTTGGTCGTGGAGCTTTCATCATTATTCTGAATGACATCATCGGCACAAATTCCAGGTAGAAGTGAAGTGTTCGAATTTCTTCACATGTGGTCCACCAATCAACATTAAAGTCTACAGGAGAAGCTGTGAACCACATGTGAAGAAATTCGAACACTTCACTTCTACCTGGAATTTGTGCTGATGATGTCGTTCAGAAGGACGATGAAAGCTCCACGACCAAACCATCTAACTCAGAGAACAAAACTACATCAAAATTTTGAAAAGAGCAAGAATAAAGATTCTAGCAGAATAGCATGAATTCATTCATTACAAAATAAAATGAATTCAAGCTATTCTGCTAGAATCTTTGTTCTTGCTCTTTTCAAAATGATAAAAGGAACTATGTGTATGATACATCAAAATTATTTACTATAATCTGTAGTACATTTATTTTGTTACGGCTTTTTATTAAACGACATCTTTTGAAAGGATTCCTTCAGTGAATGACTTATTTTCTGATCTATTAGATATACTTAAATAAAATCAAGTTATAGAGGTTAAGTAATTGTGGAATAGTTTAACGGTGTACATTTAAAGTTTCTTTACAAACCCATTGTACTAAAAGCTAGATTTGCTTTAAATGACGTTTCACGATAGTCTAATGATGGATTCCATTAGAAACAAAATTGAACTTAGGAAATGTTTCATCATAAAATGAGACTTAACTACAATGTAAACTAACAAGTTCATTTGAAAAGTGACTCAGGTTCACGATGTATCTAAATGATAAATTCGAATGATTCTTATATTTATATTCATTCAGTATGTCAATTGAAAAACTCACAAATTGTTCAGAAGGCAAGTAGTTTAATCAAAAACTCTAGTATTAGCATATTGCTTTCAACTATAATATGCAAAATCTAAACATTTTATAGTTAACAATGAAATACATTAACTAATCTGCTTGTCTAACTTTAACATGTATGAATTCTATTGTTTTATTAATCTGATTTTGTACGGACATTTTTGTAAATAGTAGTTGATTCTAATAACCAAGTGACAGTAATCTATTCATAATGATTTCACGCAATAATTTCAAAACAAAAACGAAACATGATACTCAATAAATGGAAATTATTCTTCTGTCTAATTTTGTTATTAACTCTCCGTAAACTACAAATCACATGGAGATCTATAGAATGATCAGCAGGTAATCAGCTGCCAAAAGTTATCAGATGATCTTATTTCTCAATAATAATAATTAAAAAAAACATGGAGACAAAATGTGTGGTAGTAAGTGTATAAAAAAAGTATAAAAACAACTTATCGATAATTGAGAACAGAACAAATATAAAATATGGAATTTTAAACTATTCAACAATTGTGAACGATAAATATCCACTGTGTTGTGTTAACGTTGCTTTAGACACAAAAAAACGTAGCCGAATGTCAAAAAATACGATTTCAGTTTGATCATATGTAGTCAGTTTAAACAAGCCGATAAAAATTTTGGTTCATTTTATAAATCATATAGAGGAAACTTAAAAGTCTAATACAGTCATGTCATCTTTGTATTCAGTCACAATGTAGTTACATGAATACAACTTACATAGTGTTTACAAATAAATCTTATAATTATGTTAAAACAGTTATTGTTTTAAGTGATAGAACAGACCAAACAAATTGTTAGGGAGATCCAGAAAAGTCCTCGAAAAGAAGTCAGGAAAGGCTAAAAAAACACTATGAAGCGCCTTATCCAATCAGCATTCATTAGAAGTTTTGCCAGAAACATCTAGAAGGTGAAAAGTCACATGTCGAGTTTCTGGTTGAATGCTACTATGTTCAATAACATTCCAGAATTTTCCAGAAACCCAAAGCCATCTAGAATACTATAAATACCCTAGACTTTCTGTACATAAGTGAACCTTTGGAGTAAAGTGTTCTTTCCATATCTCGCGCCTTTCCTCTCGTGTTAAAGTTGATGTGTAGATCTAGCCTGGGGGTTACTAGAAGAGCTTAGGAACCGAACTTAGCGTTCCATTAGAAGATTTATCACGAAGAGCGAATAATGACTGCTAGTATATAGACAGATTAAGTAATTACTCATTTCTGTTGATTTAATGTTAAATCTTTTTGCTAAACTGTATTACATAACATTGTGTCAATGATCTTTGCAAGCCGAATTCTTGAGCGAAATAATCCATGTGGTTTGGTTATCTTTCTCAATTAAATCCCTAAAAGTATAAATTAGTTTTACTGTATTATCATATATTTTAGACTGTCAAATATGTAATGTGTTATATTAAACACTTAAAGATTTAGCACTAAATAATATTTTATGTTTGGATCATTATTTAGCGGTATCATTATCTACTCGCAAGTCCTCATATTAATTTGCATTGACTTCGAGATAACAGAAAACCTTCGAATATAAAGTTTTCCCTCCACGTACCGACCTCAACGAATGAAATAAACATAAATTCCAATCATCTACATAGTCACTAGTCAGTGTAGGTAGTGAAATCTAATGAAATAAAAACTGTAACGTTATTAGTCATTTGTTGTTGGGTAGTTAAATGCTCTACATGTAAAACCCCAGTTCTTAGAGTTTACCCAATAAGAAATTTATGTGAAAATGACTTGTGAGCCTGAGGAAGATTTTAGCTTTTCGGAGATTCGAACATGAGTTTTGAAGCTTCATGCAGATTATAGTTTTTCATCTTATATCAGATCCATTGCACCACAAAGTTGAGTAACTACTTACTAGTATGAGTAGAAACATTCAGTAGGTGATCAAAATTAATGATTTGATAGTTTTGACGTTTTGGCTTCATAACTTCTTCATAGATAATGAAAAATACTTGTATTTTGTACTATACGTAAAATTTGTTGGCTACTCATCTAACACAACACTAATAGCCACCATACTACTTTGTTACGATTAGTAGCTTGAACTGATGTGAATAATTTGTATGCCTTTTCAAATATAACGACCGTAACAAACTAAGTCTGTTTTTTTTTCAGATTTACATCACCGTCTGATCTTAGTTAGATAATCAGTGAGAACCGGAAGGCGCTAGAAATAGTATGGGACTCCACCAAAGTGCACATTTATAGCCATTATAGTCATAATGCTACTTCCTCGAAATCTGAACTCCATAACTCTCTCACCTAACACCGTTAATTGCTGATTTTGTAGCTTGACATCGTAACATATTTTCCTTATGGACTTGTGATAAGTGATGCCACTAATTTCTTGGACATTTACATGAAGGATACATTTTCCTCCAGTTAAAACTTTCAACAGTGTTATTAAATACCGTAACAGTTGAAAACATGAGATTTGTAGCTTTCTCAGTTTTGTTTTGTTTTCCATAAAACCAGCATACTTCAAGAGATACCATGTCTTATTCTTCTCTGATTCATTCTCTCTTTCGATGTGACGAACTTTTCATATATTATCTGCGAAAACAAAGCTAGTATGACTTTTATCAGATGATTGCAATAATGTATAACTAAATTAATCAAATTGTCCTATATGTAGTCTTCTCTAAGGCGGATTACGTATTTTATGATTACTTGTATATACTGCATGCTAAAATTGTGGAGTTACAGGTTACCGAAAAACAAGTAGGAATACACCAGTTTCACATGTATGACTGAAGCATTGAAAAACGAAATTTTAAGTTTTTCTCGTAAATTATGAAACATCGAATTATTATGTGTTAAATAGTGATCTACTCACCTTCTTCAATAGTCTTTTTAGTCGTAATAGGCGTCTTCGTCTTCCAGATTTCTTTTTGAACTCTTCATGATCTTCAGACGAGTCATTTATTTTACCCAAATAATCACACGACTGAGAACGAGAAAGTGTTGATTGTTCTAAGAATCCAGATAATTTTTTATCCATTGTACTTTGAGAGCCAGATTTTAAATATTCCCGCGAGTTTTGAGTTTTTAAAGCTTGTGGTGACTTAGATCTCGATTTTTCTTTACTTTTAACTGGATGAGTTTCTTCTATTAACTGGTCATTATTTATTTCAAATAAAAAACCATAAATATTATATGAAAAGGTAAAATTTACGAGATCTGTCTTAAATATGTACTGTGTAGTAATAGTAATAATAATTATAGTAGTAAAGTAGTAAACGAGAACACACAATAAAAACAAACAAATGAATCGCTACATAACACTACAGAATATCTTGGTAAAATTTGAGAATCTTACAGTAAATGATTCGTTTGCAAAATGTCCATCAGTTGTCCCGAACTTTGTTGTTCTTTCGTTTCCATAGCACTTATTCTCTGTTCTCGTTCACTCCTCTTCAATTTTCTCGACCTTCTGCCGCCAAACATTCCGATTTCTATTGATAATACATACTACTTATATCTGTCGACATCAGTAGCACACACTACTGTAGTGGTATTGTAGTGGTAGTAGTGCAGTTGTAGTAGTGAAGTAGTAGTATCTATTTAATAATTGGAACTACTTCTAGTGTTTTAATTTTTGATAGTTATTAAGAAGAAAATCGAATAGAAGATGATCATATCATCCCGTATGAAACAATCTTGCTAAAAAACGCTGACCAGAATAAACAATTTAAACTCTGCTCTCCGAGTTGGAGGATATTCACACAGACTACTTATAACGCCACAAAGTGAAGGCCGGGATTCCTCGCAAGTTACGAGGTCAATTCCCTTTCTAACGACCAGAACAACAATTAATTTAGGTACATAGAATGTCCGGACAATGTGGGGAACTGGGAGGACCATTCAAATACCTGCGAAATGAGGACATATAACTTGACGGTTCTCGGAACAAGTGAAACCAATTAAATCCAACGGAGACTGCAAAGATTATATTCGCGAGAGATGTTATTGTATTCTGGTCATGAAGAAAATGCTCAAAGCACTTGGAGTGTTGCTCTGATGACGTTCAAAGAAGCACGTAAAGCAATAATATGATGGGAGTCTCATGGATTCCGAATCATCAAAGCATCCTTTAAAACAGAGAAGGAAGTAATTATAATGAACGTTATCCAGTGTTATGCACCCACCAATGATAGCAATGATGACGGCAAAGATAAATTTTATGAGAAGCTGTAATCGATCATAGTGAATTGGTCAGAAAAGGACCTGATCATCCTGATGGGATGTTGCTGAACTGGATGAAAGATTCAGTAGACGTCCAGCTTCGAAATTAACATATCGGATCTCGTAAAGATTGGTCACAGACACAGACCAAATAGGGACATCACGGGTCATTGTAGAGCAGTCAACTGAATGCAACTCGTCACTATTCACCAACTTGATTGACTGTGAGAAAGCATTTGACAATGTGGATAGGAGGACCTGATGGAACCTTCTTCAACACTATGAAGTGAGTAGCTGAGAGGATCGCCATCATCATGCGTAACTAATACGACGAACTACAGTACCAAGTGGTGCATGGAGTACAGCTGACAGATGCATTCCAAGTGAGAAGTGGAGTCGGACAAAGCTGCTTAATCTCCCTCTTTCTATCTCTTCTGGTGGCCAACTGGATTGTGAAGACCTCCACATTTCAAATAAGACACCAAATGCAATGGACAGCTAGGAATCAATTAGACGATTTGGACTTCACAGATGACCTAGCTCTTCTATCTTATACACAGCAACAAATTTAGGAGACTCAGCCAGTGAACTAACAGTCTTTGCGTCAGCCGGCCCCAACATACACAAATGACATGCAAGATTTTGAAATACAACACAGAGAGAACCAACCCAGTCACACTTGAAACAGAAACTTTGGAAGAGTTGGAAACTTTCAAGTACCTGGACAGAATCGTCGATAAACAAGGAGGATTTGACTCAGATATGAAGGCACAGATTGACAAGACATTTGCATGAAATAGTGACATTCAGTACACCTATCGCTATAATGATCTCTCCCTAACATTTTTGACGGTTTCTTAGATTTAAGATTTTTTCCCCTTTATCAGTTTTTATATTTTTTGTCTGCATTTGTTATTTCGATTGTCGAATGTGTAATACACTCAAAATCTTAAGGTGTCAATTTGTAGTTTCGATTATAGATTTTCTTAATCTTAATTATATGTTCTTGCCCAGTGTTGTCGATTGTCCTCATCATCATACATAAATGCATCTTATGCGTTAACTGGTAGATTGAATTACTTTTTCACCTATTCATCTCTCTTCCGAACTCTCACAGACTCTCTGACCTTCAAGCTAACACAAAACCTACATTTCGACTAAATGAAAACCTACCAAAAGCTGAGTGTTGCAGCTGGAATTGTGTTGTTCATACAGTAACTGGCTGTTACACAACTAGTTTGTCATATATTTTAAACATGATTCTTAAATAACTATTTCTGAAGACATTTTTTATTCAACTGTACATTGACACTGTAAATGCCTTAAATGCCTCACGATTTGAGGTTTGTTAATGTATTGCTAACATTGTTATAAATAATATCATCGTATTCTCAACATATCTCGTGTCCATATTACGGCATTTTTACGTGTTAGTTATTTGGTTAGAAGTGCAAATCAAAATTAATAGAAACATAACTGTTATTGAATACTTTCTTGGTGTAATAATGAAGATTAAAACATAAAGATTTACTAAATTTCTTGCTTAACACTACTTATAACCGTTTTGGTGAAATGAAAATTTGACTAGAAATATTCAATGGGTTATTTGTTATCGTTTAATAAATAACATGAAGTCACTTATTGATTTCTTTCACGTAAGATCTATTTTCTTCAACAAGTTTAAATAAAAAAACAGACGTAAAAAAGACTTGATGAACAAGTTAAAAAAACATTTAGTGAGTATAAATAAACTACACTAAAAGGTTGCTGATAGATGTATTCCCGTTGCTATGTTCGGGGAGTTCAAGAGATCACCGAAAATCGGCGAACTAAACGATGCATAGGCGTCACAATGACAAGACAAGCCCAACTATTCTGATGCGTCCTAGCAGCGCTAACTATAAATAGAAGACCTCGTTAACAAGTGGGAAAGTATATTCCACAAGCAGCCCAGAAGCACGAACAACAACAAGCATATAACTCAAACGTACATATACAGCATAAAAATGTCCTTGCGAAACGTCACAAAATAGCATATAAAGAGAGGGAAGATTAGTTCAGCGAAGAGTTCTCTTTTCGGCGAATTCATTTTCAAAGCTGTACAATCGCAAATATATATACCTATTTTTACAGGGTGATAATAACACTGATAATAAACTTATGTTATACACGGTGACGGTGAGGTTAAATAAACAAAGGTATTAGAAAAAATTTTTAAAACAAGGAAAGTTTGTTAGTTAATGGCTTAGATGTTCATCGGGTAAGGGTAGCTCAGCATGATAAAATAACATAAAATGTTGAAACAGAGATGAAATGTCATCGGAATGATCGTGGAAATAAAAACAAACCGGTTGGGGGTACAAGATTTGAAGGTAAGATGGAAGGTGAAGCAGGTGGCTGTAAAAGAACAAGAGTATGAAGAGAGAGAAAAATTTCTTAATACCTTAAGACCATGGTAAAAGAAGAGGTTGTACCAGTCTCTTTTGTACACATAATTCTGGTTTTTCAAAATGTATGGCTATTGCCTCGGCGATGCAAAGAAGATGCAGTCTAATTGTCTTAGAAAGGCTTCTACTTACCTTGTAGATGACTTTGAACGCAGAGTCTGTCTTGATTGAGTGACCTGTGTTCACAAAGTGTTCGATTATAGAACTTCTTATTGAGCCGCTGCCTCCTCTTCTTAGCCAAGCCGGACAATGTTCTTGAATTCTTTTGGATAAAGTACGCATCGAACGACCTATATACCTAGCTCCACAAGAGCAGGTAAATTGGTAAATGCACATTGAGTTGGTCAGATGCGATAATTTATCTTTCAGATTATTGGTGAACAGTGATCGGCTGGAGAATAATATTCGCAATGTTGCTGCGAAGAATGTTCTTTTTAAAGAGTCAGAAATTCTCCTCTTTAAGATATATGCGGCTCTATCACCTTTGAAGTCGATGTTCATGTATAAAATTTTCTTTTCTACTACAATTGTTTGTGGTTTTGGCATTTTCGGTTTCATGTTCTTATCAATGAATATAGAAGGATATCCGTTTTTGATAAGTATCTCTTTTAAAAACTTAACATTTCACAAAGATCTGTCATATATGAATTATCACCTAACGAACACAACCTTTTCACCGATTATGTTACCACAGTTATCGACAAACGCACAAAAAACTTAATATCAGACCTCACTAAAAGTTTAAAAACTACAGAAACACAGCACAACTTTCCTAACAACCCTGAGAGATATGTGTTTAATCATTCTTCAATATCGTTGACAAATGTACAATTAGAAGCCTTATCTTTGGGGATAAAATTCTGCGACATAAATGAAAAAGTTAACAAAATCAACACACATGTTCAATTCGAAAACTTAATCAAACAAACAAATGGTCTTAATCCAATCTCTGATCAAGAATTCCAACGTTTCAAATCTACTCTTCTTGACAGCTGCAACCAATATATTAGCACAAAAGTAACAGGCAAAAGTCTACTAACAAAAGAACATAGAAATCAGATAAAACTACTTAGAAATAATAAAGACTTGATCATAACACGTCCAGATAAAGGTGCTGGTTTAGTGCTGCTAGATCGCAAGGATTATGTTGAAAAAATGACAACGTTGTTATCAGATGACACCAAATTCTCAAAACCCAACAATGAGAAAAACAAGACTGAAATTATAGAAAAGCAACTAATTGATGTCCTTAAGAAATGAAAAAAGAGCAGTTAATCAACGAACAGGTCTTTGAGCACATAAAACCAACAGCATCGATAATACCGCGATTATACGGTTTGCCAAAAATACACAAACCTGGCCTACCTCTTAGACCGATTCTCGATATGTCTGGATCCCCTTACCACCCTATAGCAAAGTGGTTGGCGAATCTCTTAGAACCCGTTAGAAAACTCATTTGTAAACATTCTGTACGTGATACTTTTGAATTTATCGAGCACATAAAAGAAGTGAATGTAAGTGGCAAAATTATGCTATCTCTGGATGTGGAATCATTATTCACTAATGTTCCACTCACAGAAACCATTAATTTTATCTGTAAGTACATAAACAATACTGAGATAAACATTGGGATACCTGAGGTTTATTTGAAGGAATTATTACTACGTTGTACTTGCAATGTACAGTTCACATTCAACGACGTAATTCATAGACAGAAGGATGGTATAGCAATGGGATCCCCACTTGGTCCATTACTGGCAGATTGCTTCATGGCCAGTTTAGAAAACAACCAACTTAAAAGAATTATAGAAAACCTCCACTTATATAAAAGGTATGTGGATGATATCTTTATCATTTGTGATAACAAATGTAACTTAAGTGATCTCCTAAATACATTTAATAATTGTCACCCATCAATAAAATTCACACTTGAAGTTGAAAGCAAACAAAATATTCACTTCCTTGATGTAGATATAACAAGGAAACAAGATGGTACTTTAAAAAGATCTATCTACAGGAAACCCATGTGGAATGGCCAACTATCAAATTTCCACAGTTGGGTTCCCATCAGCCGAAAAAGAAACTTAATAATAACTCTCGCCACAAGAATACGAAGAATCTGTAGCCCCGAGGTCGTAGAGGAAGAATTGAGTTTTTTAAAAGAGATACTTATCAAAAACGGATATCCTTCTATATTCATTGATAAGAACATGAAACCGAAAATGCCAAAACCACAAACAATTGCAGTAGAAAAGAAAATTTTATACATGAACATCGACTTCAAAGGTGATAGAGCCGCATATATCTTAAAGAGGAGAATTTCAGATTCTTTAAAAAGAACATTCTTCGCAGCAACATTGCGAATATTATTCTCCAGCCGATCACTGTTCACCAATAATCTGAAAGATAAATTATCGCATCTGACCAACTCAATGTGCATTTACCAATTTACCTGCTCTTGTGGAGCTAGGTATATAGGTCGTTCGATGCGTACTTTATCCAAAAGAATTCAAGAACATTGTCCGGCGTGGCTAAGAAGAGGAGGCAGCGGCTCAATAAGAAGTTCTATAATCGAACACCTTGTGAACACAGGTCACTCAATCAAGACAGACTCTGCGTTCAAAGTCATCTACAAGGTAAGTAGAAGCCTTCCTAAGACAATTAGACTGCATCTTCTTTGCATTGCCGAGGCAATAGCCATACATTTTGAAAAACCAGAATTATGTGTACAAAAGAGACTGGTACAACCTCTTCTTTTACCATGGTCTTAAGGTATTAAGAAATTTTTCTCTTTCTTCATACTCTTGTTCTTTTACAGCCACCTGCTTCACCTTCCATCTTCCCTTCAAATCTTGTACCCCCAACCGGTTTGTTTTTATTTCCACGATCATTCCGATTACATTTCATCTCTGTTTCAACATTTTATGTTATTTTATCATGCTGAGCTACCCTTACCCGATGAATATCTAAGCCATTAACTATCAAACTTTCCTTGTTTTAAAAATTTTTTCTAATACCTTTGTTTATTTAACCTCACCGTCACCATGTATAACATAAGTTTATTATCAGTATTATTATCACCCTGTAAAAATAAGTATATATATTTGCGATTGTACAGCTTTGAAAATGAATTCGCCGAAAAGAGAACTCTTCGCTGAACTAATCTTTCTTTCTTATTTAATGTCATAATGTGTGTATTCCGTTTATTAAGAGAGGGAACAGTGACAATGGGCGCTTTTAGCTCGAGAATGAGAAATTTAAATTTCCAAAATAAAATTATAAAAATATGACGTTTACCAAGTGATTTCTGGGAATCTAGCATATACAATACCAGGACTACGAACCATAAAGTCCTTCGCCTCTTTCTATTGGACTTTGCAATCTTACTTATATGATATAATAGTTCTATCAAGTTGCAATTCGAAAATCAAACAATAAAGGATTGTATCACAAGCATTTTATTCTTCAAATATTAAATCCTGCAAATAAAACTATGATTTCTAAGGATATAGTGATAATACTCAAGAGATTCACAGATGAAGTTTCTTAGTTGTTCGATATATTTTATATTATCTAGCTAAACATTATCAACCCTAATGTATACAACAATAATTAAAGAAGTATATGAAAAATTAAAGTTCGAAATTTAAGAGTTTACGAAAGTGTTTGTTTTTAATAGTCAAGTGGATCTACGCCTTAGCAGCACAAAAACTCTTTTTAATTTTAGCATTTTAACCTTTTGAAATGTTCACTAATCATCACCAAGAAGTCAGTTCCTTTGTAGTCTAAAAAGATTTCTTAGTCACATAGTTTATATTATGAAGTGTCTACAGAACACATAAAACTCACCATTTGATTCAATGAGGTCTTCTCATTCTCATCACCTGAAAAATAAATGGTCAGTGATTAAAATACATATGTATTGCTTAATAAAATAATCAGAAAACTAATGACCATATCAAAATGTAGAATAAGCTTTCATCAATAAATTTTGATAATGATTCCTGAGTCGATTTCTTAACTGATTACAAGCTACAGATTAAATACAATTTGAATATCGTTTCATAAATTAGTTTCACCTAATCATTTAGAACTAAGCATAATACACAAATGTGTTTAAAGCTTAAATCTAAATTATTTCAAGTGATAGTGAACTTCTATTGGACATGTTAGTTAGTGATTACATGGATATTGTAAAGTAGTAATAATGATTTTAATTTCAATGTTGTACATAGTTATTAAGTTTTCGTTTGGTAACTGTAACCAATCAGTGAATAATAAACTTATTATATTCATTACATATGAAAACAGAGCCAAGTAAACAGAGATCATTGTCTATTATAAAGCTATTATTCTTTTTATTAATGTGAATTTATATGAACGAAAATTCGAATAAGAACTGGAAATGAATGAAAAGTAAATCTATTTTATTTTTAACTATGTCTACATCATTTACTTTTTTCTTATTATAATATGTAAAGTACATAATGAAGACATTAACTTTCTGAGAGCAATTCAATTGACATAATAATAATAGTAATAGTAATTAACAGTCATAAATATGTCAATAAAAGTTTCCTTAATCCCTACTTTCAATTTCACCAGTGAATTGTTTAGTTTCAATTGAAGTGTCATCATCTAAATTAGACATTTCATTATTACCTTCATCTATGTTATAAGACTTTGAATGTAAGTTACTACACAATACAAAGCTTATATCACTTTTATATTTTGAAACTGGTTAGGTCAATACAAATTTATGTTAATGTTTTTAGCAGTTGATAGTTCTATGTCAACTGAAATTATGTCTACGATAATGATATACAATTGATTGATCACTGGGTGGTGATCATTGTCATGTATATCAGGTCTTTCTTAATGTAGATTGAATCCTATCGACCAAGTTTCAATGTGGCCACCAGTCTAGGTGACTCGACATTGAGTGCACTATGTTAAGATAAGATGGTGTTTAGAGGTAGTCAACAGGAAACCCTGAACCTAACAACATCAAACCGTTATTTATATTTTTTCTATTAGCAACATTAATTGAAATTTCAACCGAGATTTATAAGTCAATTAGCTGAATGACACTCAATCATGGGAGAGTTAAAAACAGCACAAATGATTTGACCGTCTTATTCAATTATTTTCTAACACCTATTCACAATTAATACATTTTTCTAAATTTTGTACATTTATATTCTAAGTAGTTCTATGGATAATTATTCCAGTGCTAACGAAATTTATTGTTTAGAGGATACTTTGGATAGACTGGTTATTCAATAGCTTATTTTATCTATAGTGAACAATACGTTCTTATGTATTCTAAAATCAATCCACATAATATAGAGAGGTGATATTAACAATTTCATTCGTTGTACGGATTTTAACATACATATATTTGGATAAACTATATAATTTTAGAACTAGCAACATCCTAAGATGGATAGTGACTAGCATTGGAATCCAGAACGCGCGTTTCGTCCTATTCGGGACTAGTCAGCTGGATGTACCTGCATCTCAGAGTTGATGTTCACTCTGTGACTCGAACCCAGTACCGTTTGCTTCAAACATCACCGGTTATCAACTTAGCACCCAGCTGAAGAGTCCTACATACGACGAAACGCGAGTTCTGGATTCCACTGCTAGCCACTATCCATCTTTGCTTATAATGCTTGTGAATTAAGGCAACATCGTGGCAATACGCACAATGTGCACATATGTCAATAAGAGACTGGTCTATTGCAGTCCTGAACATTGATAAGAAGATTCAAGTAAACAATACCGGGTAAATTTAATGACATCCTAATTTTTATATGAGATTAAATATTGATTAGTAAGACACTGAACTATTAAAAAATGTTTATAAATGGAAATTCTATTAAAGCGGGTAACTTACTTGGTTTAGAAGGTGAGTTCTACAAAAAATATAATAATGCACTTAATGTCTAAGATAGTGAAAATGGAAGTTACATTCTTCATTAACTTCGAAACTACTATTGGAATCATATTACTGATTAGCTTAACTCGATACACTTGAAATTCAGTAAACATTGTCTACAGTTTAGAGTCAACTACATGTTGACTAATGTTATTAATTATAAAAATTGAAAAGATTTTTGTGGCGACGTTGCATTTTTAGAAAAAGTATATTCAAAGTGCTAGGTGAAAATTTATATTTTGTTTTCGTATAACTAAACCTTTAACCACGAATATCGAATATGTAATTACAAAGCAACTAGTACAGTTCTATTCATTGACATCATCTTATGAATAAAATGCCTACTACAAGTTCGTATTTATACACACACAGTATAAATACGTAGATCAAATTAGCTTTTTCACAATGTTTTGAATGTTTATACTTGTACCCCGCTGAACTTTCAGACATTGAAAACAAGACTAAAGTTATGTTTCTCTGACATCATTAGGAATCTTTTGAAAATCTAACATCATATAGAATATTTCAGACCACTCATTAAAAGCTTCCAACCTATGATTCATACATGCTTTCATAAGCTATTTGTAACTTTTGCCGAAAATCTAACTAAGGATATTCATTGAGCTCCATTCCTTTGACGTACACGTATAGGATGGCACTAGCTATCATAGTTAAAATTTATTTACATGCAGTTAAATGCATGTGGAGTTTAAAGAAAACGTGATACCTGAGAGGCTACAACGAATGGGACTTTTAAGAAGTTCCTTTATTTGTGATTGTGGTAATAAAATGACTTGTGGACCTTGTGCGGACTACCGATTGAGACTAAGCCAAGTCATGATAATTGTTGCGAACTGAATAATAAAAGCACCAGTTACATTGGCTGTAGCTGGGTACTACAATATATACGGATGATTGGAGAGCGTACAGATGACTACATAGACTTGGTTATGTGCATCGTGTCGTTATCCATAAGCGGCATTTTGTGGACCCAACAACCGGAGTACACACAAACAATGTTGAAGCTATGTGGTAGAGGCTGAAAGAGATTTTGCAACCTTATCATGGCTCCAGAGGCCGATTATTATGGAGCCATACAGATGATTTCCTCTACAATACACATTATGATTTTAGAATATCTGAACCTCTTTTTAACCTTGATAAGTTTTAAAACCATGTAAAAGAAGTGTATCCACTTTAATTCTTTGATATTGTATAAAATATTTTTATTCTGTACTAACTCTTTTCTGATTGGCTAATAGTTCTCAGGGTCACTTGGGACGCGTTCAAAGGTTATCCATAAATTATAGTCTCGCCGTATTTACATATATAAAATAATTAGTTTATGCATATAACTCACAACAATATATTTTGATGAATTATTCAGTTTTGAAATCACTTCACTTTCTAAAATATACATTTACACAAATAAATAAAGTAAGTAACTTAATCAAAAAATTATTTTTCTTACAAAAATTTTCAGTTTAGGTTTTGTGGAGATTGTTTAGTTTTTTGATTGAAATCATGAGTCATTTGAAACTAGACCACCATGGAAAACCTGGAAGCACTGGATGGCAGTTTCGTCCTAGTATGGGACTCCTCAGCAGTGCGCATCCACGATCCCATACCCCGCGAGATTCGAGCCCAGGACCTAACAGTCTCGCGCCAGGCGCTTAACCAACTAGACCACTGAGCAGGCATCCAATGGTGTTAATTTTCAACCCCAACCAATCCACGAAATTGCGCCACCATCTTCCATTGTACTGAGGTAGACACCTGTTTCTTCCCGACACGGATTAGCTCCACTGATCACGGCTTCTCACCAGAACTCCGAGAATGATTTATTGATTTGTATTTCTTTTCAGAAATGAATCCCACTGTAGTTTACATTCATGAAAGAAATTTCATTTCATTTCCTTTTAAGAAATTATTATAGCTGATTTTGATGCAAAGTTGAACCAAAGTTAACAGTGGGATCCAGGACACATAGTTTGTCCCATTTTGAACTAATCTGTTGGATGTTGATGCTTCTCAGTAGTGCTGTTCACTATACTGTTCGAACCCAGTAAATTTTGCTTCAAACCCCAGCTAGCTAACCATTTAACTATTGAGTTCAGGCAGACATCAGCTTGTCTGACAGGGAAAAGTCTTATTCCACTTTTACGTATTTAAATCTTCCAGTTATTAATTTTGAGGACTGAAAGTGATCACTCTTATTTATGTACTTATAAATGCTTCCTGGGCAGATCACTTGGGTATTTTCACTAAGTTACAAGCACTTTTATGCAAAGGTGGATATTAACTAGCAATGTTAATCCAATCTACTCAGGATGCATATATACTAAAATAGATTGATCAATTGCAAATCTTAACATTAACAATGTGAAAAATTAAAAGCGTACAAAAATGAAATAATTATGATTAACTTCTTTTATTATTCCAATGATTTAATAGACATCATTTAGAGTCAATATATTTATAGATTCTTGAACATCTCATCGTAACAACTACTACCTATAGTGAATCCACTTATAACGTTTATTAATTCATTTCCAATTACTTAATTTGGCGATTGCTGAGCATCGAATAAAGTAACCATGAACCTTATTATATCCCTGCGAGAGTTATGAATGATAACTTTTGAGAACTATTCATGGACTAATACGATACATGCATTTTTATTGTATAATTATTAAATAGCTAAACTATTCATATTCCCGTTCCTCTTACCATAAGCTTTATTTTGACCTATGAACTGTTATTATACGATTTACCATTCTTGAGTTATGCCTTGTCTATCAATTACTATCTTCCACATTCACAGCCATATTTGGCTAAATCTTGCACAAATGTTGTTTCCTATTTTATGGTACGATGTGGTCTGTTTGGATTATATATGTAAACCTAGTATGTTTGAAATAAATGATTCATATCGCAGAGGCTGAGATTGATGTTCTGGACTTAACAGTCAGTGCTAGGCAGGAAGTAGCACAGATAAAGATTCGAGACTGTTCGTACGAGTTTTGTGCGGCATTGGTCCGGTCATTAATAAACTGTTCTCTAATTGACGGTATCATTACATTATACATTAACAGGGCACAAGGTATATATTCAACAAGATAAAACAAGTATTCTTTCATCTTCATAGCTCCTAAACTTATCACTTTAAATTCAGCTTCAAATATTATCTAATGTATATTCAACTAAATAGTTGACAAAACTCTACAAAAAACATTCTGTTCATGAACTGTAATTCACGAAACGTCTTCATCAACAAATCCTAATCTCAAAATAATAGCTTTAATCTATTCTTATTACATTGTCTTTTAACCAAATGCATACAATGCGAGTTATTTACTCAACTGCGATGAACTAATAAATTATTACTTTTTTCCTTTATACTCTCCCCTGATTCTTCCATAAAAATGAAAGCTATTACTGTCAAATTATTGCATAAACTTACTTGCCTTACGTAGATTATTTTGAAGTGGTTTAAATCTTACATCAATTTTTAACGGACTGGTTTCTTTTGTTTCAGTATAATGATTAAACCAATCACCTGTTTTACAGATACATTTCCTGTTATAAAAAAGGAAATTGTGTAAAACATTTATTTTGTTTCATCAAAATATTCATTCAATAATTAATATGACGTAATCTCAACTGCCTTCTAGCAGTTAAACGTATAATTGTTAAACTGGACAAATATATTCATAACAGGTCTTCATGACTACCTCATTACAAATTAATAATGTTCAATCAATGATATTGTGAGGACGGCCCACATATGAACTTGAGAAAGCTCTAAGAAGCTCAGAAAGAACCGAAGATATTCCATCCCATCATCTTTTAGAAGAATATTGCGTAATCCCTACGTGTAGCTTCTCTATCAGACAACTGCTAATAACCCCCTGTGTGCTGATTGGAAGACTATAATAATGATTTCGTTTTGACTAAAAACTGTAAATACCCAACAGTTTTGTACCATAATTTACACTGTTTGGAATAGAAGTCCTTACAGTTGTCTTTTATCTTCTGAGTTGCGACTTGCCAGGGTTCTAGCGTTCGAGTGCTCACGTTTTACGCAGTATATTAAGAATCTAAGATCTAGATATAACAGATATCATATTACGCCATCCATTTTAACTGATAAGTAGCCTGGTGAGACCAGAATGATAATCCCAATGCAACCTTATAATAAAAACTTGTGGAGTTAATAATAACAACTTACTTACGCCGTTGACCCCCAATAGGACATAAATAAGTTGTAATTATTAACTCCACAAGTTTTCATTATAACGTTGAGTTGGTATTATTATTATTCTAGTTCCACCAGGCTACTCGCTAAAAAAAACGCTAACTAGAAAAAAAATTTTTAAAAACAGTCATTAAATGGATTGACGGTTTTACTTACAAGTTTGAATATGTAAATTCAGTACTCTCTTAAAAGATCCAAAACATTTGAGTTTAAACATCAACAGATTTTAATAAATACTTGAGTTTATTATTATAAATTTCTTCAAATATGTAGTTTAGTTTTATTTGGCATATATGCCATATACATATTATTACTCAAACTACTCCATATATTTCACAGGTTGAAATCATGAGTCGATTGAAGCTAGACCATCATGGAAATCCTGGAAGTACTGGATGGCCATTTCGTCCTAGTATGGGACTCCTCAGCAGTGCGCATCCACGATCCCGCACCACGCGGGGCTCGAACCCAGGACCTACTGGCTTCGCGCGCGAACACAACTACTAGACCACTGAGCCGGCATCCAACGGTGTTAATGTCTAACTTCAACCAATCCACGAAGTTGCTCCACCGTACACCATTGTCTTCACTGAGTTGTTATCTCACAACAGATCTGGTTGAACTCCACTGGTAACGGCTTCTCACTAGAACTCCAGGAGTTTTTCCTGATACTCCATATATACCGTTTTAAGTAAATCCCAAATTGGATATTCAGTTCATATAAACTTAGTAATGCAAGTAATAAGTCAAAATATATCTTAAAATAACACTGCATTTTTACAGGTAGATCGTATTTTTCCTTGTTGTTATAAGTTCTGAAATGAATATTTGAAAACTTGATTTCGAGTTCTTTCATAGACTTTGTTAATGAGATTTGATGGGTAGATTATATCCATTCTGTTGACTGTTTTAACTACAAATCTTGTTTTTTAATTTGTGTTTTAAAAGTTGACTAATTCCAAAGTCTTTCAGAAATTATTTGTAGCTGAATAGGTCTAATTGGATGGATATATTTTTCAATTTCTACTCTTCGTCATTTATATGCCAAGACGTTTTATCTAGAGATTATAATAATAAACCACTAACATGTAAACAAATATGAGTCAATTGTTTTATGACTGGTGATCGACTATTATGACTGTGTCATCAATTGTTAAATCTCATCGTCAGTGCTAATTATGTCAGAATAGCTTATCACTTATACTTGTAAAGCGAGGAACCATTACAATTCTCACGGTGAGAAAATATGAACACAAAGGCTGATACAAGTGAAATTTTGTTAACCCCAAAACACGACGACGACCCTAGTCTAAAATACACTCATTTATATATTGATTAATAATTAGGATGAAATCATATATATGAAAAATACAGTTATAACAAATCATATGCTACATGTCATGCTGAGCATAGTATATCGTACATTATACAGAATAAAATGTCATACAGGATAACAGAAACAAATACTACACTGAGTAGTCACTGCATTGAATTAAAACAGAAATAATGCTGAACAAAAATTATAATGAATAAATCATTCTTATTTTGACATTTCTTCCCGTCATATCAGGTTGAAATTATAGTCTGATTTAAGGTGCTATAGGAATTTATTTTAAAATTGACAGTTCAACCTGCAACAAATTAAGTAGCGTTAAAATATAGACCGATGAGTGACACTTCAATGATCCATTAGTTCTGTTACTTATGATATTATGTGAATGTGTTATTAAACATTATTGAATTAGTAACGATTCTCTATCTACTGTTCCTGGTTTTTAATTGTTCATCTTAAATCTTTATCACTTTGAAAATGGTATATCATGATCTAGTTAGCCAATTTATAATAACATGCTTTACTCATTTCACAACCTTCTTTTTGTAGAATATTTTGTGAAGTTTCAAACATTCCGAAGATAAATATATTTATGACATTTATAAATGATTGTATCAGGTTAAAAATCTTTGAAAAAAGCTATCCAGGTTACACACAAGAATTACCATTTCTATTAGATAATAACAACTAACTATTCCTGTGATATAAAAGAAACTCCTCAACTATAAACTATAATGCAACGCTATCAACTGTTTTTGATTGAGATCATGAACTGATTGATGTCAGACCAGCATTGAAAACCTGGAAGCACCGAACGGTTGTTTCGTCCTATTTTGGGCCTCTTCAGCAGTGCGCATCCACGGTCCCACTCGCGAGATATAAACAATTTGTTTAACAACGGCATGTTAAACTTTCTAAACTGATATATTTTAAAGAAAAAGTTTTAGAATAATCATAAAACACTTCCCAAATAAATAAAGATCATGTGAAGATTTCTGTTGAGGTTTGACCTGTATCAACAACAGACAATGTTAAAACTATCAGTTTTCTATTTATTGTTTTATTAGTACTTTAATCACATCAAGATTATAAATTTACGAACTAGATTCCTTACGATGTCGTAACTGTTCACTTCTAATATATTTCAAATTGTAGTTTTCAATTGGTTTAACATCTTAGTCAGTGAATTAACTGACTTTGACAATCATTTCATTCTCCTATGACTTTATCCAAAAACTTGTTACTGATTACCATAAAATCATAATATACATTTTCTGAATAATTTCCTCGACAAATGAACGTCAGTTGGAAAACCACTAAGTTACAGAGAGCATTCAACACATACTTATGTTTTCAGTAGTGCACATTTAAAAACATAATTACAAATAACCTCAAAAACTAAAAGTATCATAGAGATCATAGTTCATTTAGATTATATAAATAAAATAAACGTTTTTAGCTATAACTCTTTAGCCCTCCTATCCCATGCACTCGAACAAATGCAGATAAAGACAGTTAGTGTAGTAGCAGTCTCTGCATCAGTAGGCTTCAACATACACAAGGGGAAAACAAAGGTGCTCAAATACAACACGGAGAACACCAACACAGTCACACTTGATGGCGAAACTCTAGAAGATGTGGAATCCTTCACATACCTGGAAAGCATCATCGATGAACAAGGAGGATCAGATGCAGACGTAAAGGCGAGGATTGACAAATCAAGGACAGCATTCCTACAACAACAAATACAACTCAAAACAACTTTCAACCAATATCAAAGTCAGGATCTTCAATACGAACATCAAGACAGTTCTACTGTATGGAGCTGAAACTTAGAGAACTACAACAACCACAATCAAGAAAGTACAAGTATTTATAAATGGTTGTCTACGCAAGATACTCAACATCCATTGGCTGGATACCATCAGCAACAGCCTACTGTGGGAGAGAACAAACCAGCTTCCAGCTGAAGAGGAAGTTAGAAAGTGACGATGGAAATGGATAGGGCATACATTACGCAAATCATCAAACTTCATCACGAGGCAAGCCCTAACTTGGAATTCTGAAGAGAAGCGGAAAAGAGGAATGCCAAAGGACAGATTATGTCGAGAAATAGAATCAGATATGAAAAAACGAATTGCAACTGGAATGAGCTGTAAAGGATTGCACAGGATAGGGTTGGATGGAGAATGCTAGTGAGTGGCCTATGCTCGTTCACGAGAAGTAACAAGCGTAAGTAAGTAAGTAAGTAGGTAAGCTATAACTCTTTGAATGATTGTCTACATATCAGTGTCATATTTTAAAGTAATCTCAACTGGAATTCAAGTTTATAAACCAAAAATATTTAATTTGTTACTGAAAGAGATAGGTTCATTTTAATGGGGACAAACACTCCATAAAACTAATCTTTTGAAATACAATTTTTCTATTAAAAAAATATGTTAAAGACGGTACTTTGATAAAAAAAACAAACATTTTCAAAACAAGACAATAGAATTCCAATTATTGAATAATTAAGAACTATCAATAGATTTTTGTTTTGTGGAACATAGAAATAATTTATCGATATTTTAATAAGAATAAGCTTAGTGATCTTAGTAACTTGTGATTTATTGATTTAAAAACTAAGTACTTAGTGGGTTTTTTTAGATAAATGAAGACATTTTTATTACTTGTAACAATAATAAGTGATTGATGAAAGATAAATCATTCTTAGATCATTTGAGATTTTTAGAATTTTTACAGTGAAATATATCAAACGTTATAGTTTACTTGAATGTTTACTATCAACACATGGACTGAACTAATTCTCTTGATAATATGTTAGTTAAAAATTTGTAGATAGAAATAATTCTAATTCATTCATCATAATTACGTTTATATTCAGTACTATGTAATGCTTCACTACAAGTCAAACAATGCAATAACAATGAAGCTGTAATCACAAAGTCGTCGTCAGTCAGTACACTATCCATAGAAATTATGTAT